CCCTGGCCCACCGCCATACCCGCGCACACCGGCGACTCCCGCCCAAGCGGGGTCGGACGGTTACCTCCTTCCCCCCCCCCCCCCCCCCCCCACCCCCCCCCCCCCCCCCCCCCCGCTTGGGCCTGCTAGGACTAACGTAGAAATGTTCGCAGGACGAGAGACACAGCTACGAGAAGTGCCAGTACGTCGAGTTCAAGAAGCGAGTGGCCAAGATGAACGAGTTGAGGGACTCCAAGGGCGGCGAGCGAAGCAACTAGACAGACGAGAGAGAGCATGGGATACCGAGGGGCAGGGCAGAGCGCCCGAGGCCGTGTACATATGGGAGGCAGTGCTGGACGAGCTATGACAAGTAGACGACAGCAATACAAGCAAAAGGCCTCGACTACCGTATCCTTTGCCGTCCCAGTCATTGAGAGCCAGGGGCAAGAGCTGACGGTAGGGGGGAGGGGTGGACAGCTGAAATGATCTCGACACCAGGCTACTGACAAGCAATGCGTGGGAGGGGAGGAGTGCATATTCCGAGCTCACCGGACTCACACGCATCCCTTCGAGAAAGAGCAAGGTTACAGGATCAAAACATGGATTACATTAGGGAGGTCTTAACAATGTACACAGGCATCATGTCGATGCAGCTACCGCAACCCGTCCAAGTAGTTCACCAACCGCTTCTTGATCACCACGCCTACCACTCGAGCGGTTTCCTCCTCGACGACAACCAGGTACCTTATCCCGAGCTTCCCGAACAGTTCAACGGCATATTCCACCGGCGCTTTTGCCGTGACCGTCAACGGACTGCGATTCACGAACTCCGCGATAACACCGCCAACCAGATCAACGTCTTCGTCGTCTGCGCCCCACTTTTCGTCGAGCACACCGAGCGCATATTCTAGCTCTGCTTGCGGAAGATACCCGTGACAGATGCAATGTTCATTGACAAGGACAAGACCGGCATCGAGCAGCCCTCGCGCCTTCAGCTTCCCGAGCTTACTCCGCAGTGTGGATTTCCGCGCGCGGAAGTCCGGGCCAGTGTACAGCGTGATGGCTTCCATGGTATCGTTCGGAGGTATCAGGTCCTCCATGGTACCCTCCCACTCATCACCAAGCCTGAGACCACGAACCCTGCCTAGCGCGTGTTCCGCATCCAGGAAAGGATGGCCCAGCAAGTGTTGCGACAAGTCATAGACGCCATCAGCCGAAATGGCGTCGGCGGTCCACTTTGCCGTGAGGATCGCGATCATGAACGGCGGGATGAAGTTCACCTCGCCTGTCAACTCGAACATGACCACCGCAAGGGACACCGTCATCCGGCTCACCCCTGCTAGGAATGCTGCAGAGCCCACCATTGCGAAGATACCT